TGTGTGTGTGGGATATCCAAAATTGGTGACTATAGTCAGTTGTTTGTACTGATATGGCTTTTTTAGGTTCACAAGTGGCATTGTGACACAAGACTTGATTGCTTTGATATAAATACTAATGCTCATTGTAATTTACATTCAAGATGCTTCATAGGCTTACTGTCATACTCTCCATTTATAGTAGCATTTCTAGCTATGCAGGCAGCATGCTCTAGAGGTCTGTCTGTCTGGTCCACCACGTTGGTCCAGACTGAGATATCCCAACAACTATTAGGTGGATTGCTGTAAAGAATCTTCTACAGACATTCATTGTCCACAGAGGATGAATCCTAATGTTTTTTTTTTGTAACCTTTGTGATCCTCTGACTTTCCCTCTAGTGTTATCATCAGGTCAAAACCAAAAGCTAATGACATCAGCATCAGCTTTACTTTGTATTTCATGCCCTCAGGCTTTCTCTGATCAACATTCATAGTAACACTGTCACTAATATGCTATATAGGCTACACCCTTGCTACACATCTGATGGTGAATAGATAATCATGTTCTATCAATAGGGTGAGAAAAAAACAAAACAAAGAGCTACAGCCAATCAAATTACTTCAAACAAAATGCCAAGAAGCAGCAGAATTAGCACATGTTAGCATGCTAACCTATGCTAATAAGTTAGCATGCTTACTAACTAATATGTCCAAACTTTCCCGGTTGTGCAAGATATAGACATAGTGAACATTGCTTACTATATCTGCTTAAATATTTCATCTTTCCTTTAAAGTCAGTAAAACCTAAAAAAGAAAAAAAAACTCCTTCATGCCAGCTTAAGAGAGGGCATTGCATGTGTGGAGGCTCAAACTGCATCATCTGAAAGAGAGAGGTTCATGCTGAGGCTTCACATGGCGAATGTAGATCAACTGCATCTGAGAGAAAGAAAAAAACAAGAGTGCAAATTGAAGGTGGGCACTGCTGTAACTGCTCTTCCCCATTCTGTCAAGTTGAGGTTAGCTGAGAGAACAGTTTTGCCCTCAAAACAGATGCTACTTTTCCGGTACCAACCTCAAGCACAGACGATTAGCGCAAAAGATAACGAGAGCAGAAAATTCAGTCTAATATGCAACTACACAGACGAAGTGAAAGAGGCAGAGAAAAAGTGACAGAGGGAGTAACTGATGTAGACGGGAAGTCTTTCAGAGAGACACAGAGTTCGCCACCTGTAAGCTTCACACACACTGTTATTCAGTGGCAGTGAAGTGAAGTGTGAGAGAGGTGGAGGAGCAGGTTAGGTGGTGTAACTTGGTAGAATTCCTGATGGCTTCAGGTCCTGGCAGCAGGGTGGAGGACCATCCACCAGCGCTGCCTGTCAAACAGCACAGGTAAGACCAACAAACCAAATATTTTTGACTCCTTATTAGAAGTTAATGCTTATGTTACTAATTATCTTATTGTGTTTCCATTTAGATCTCATTCATAATCACACAATCCTTATTAAAAGATCCTAATACAATAGGATGAAGGTGGATTGCACAGTGATCCTGCAGTGCACTTAGATGTGAAATACGAACACATACAAACTAATGTTTTTCAAACTTGTGAATAGTTGTAGTTTGTTTATGCACTCTACATATATTCATGGTAGAAAGGCAAACGTTTTTGTTATTCTTTGCCTCTTTTTACACAGGAGTAATTCCTTCAGACTCTCCAGTGAGGAGTCTGACTGTGTTATGCTCAGCCCTGTTGGACTCCGGTATCAAAACTACGCATGCAACGATGTGTTCCCTGAACCCACTGATTGTCATGCAGCCCAGTGCCCCATACACCAGCGCTACGGTAGGTTTACAGAATAATGAAGTGAGTTCAAGTGGGGAAAAGTAGCCTAAAAACAACTCCACAGATCGTATATGCGCAGTCAGTGTGATGGGAAAAGACAAAACAGAGTGTATTGTGTGTTTCATTCTTTTCAGTTCATCTTTTCATGAGAACTGAAAGAGAGGAAGTAACAGCCTGAAACTTTTACTTTCAGTAACACGCATGAAATATTCATACGGCTTACAATAACTTGACAAAGTACTTTCTGCCACTGTAATGCGGACTACCTGTTGTGTCCAAACTGTTGTATGTCCAGTGCTCGTGCTCACTGTCCAAGTCAGACCTAAATCTCTCTCACTGTGTTGCTCAGACTCCTCCCGACACCAAGTGAGATTTTTCTCAGATGGCACCCCGCCACCTGTTCCAAAGAAGAGATTAGCTCGCACCTTCTCCCTCCCCAGCACCAATGTGGCCCCAGTCTCTCCTCTGTCTCCACTGCAAAGACAACCTCAAAACTTTGACAACCCACTGTACATGCTGGCACCCATATCCAGCACCTATTTCCACGAGGAGACAGAAGAGGTTAAACAATTCAGAGGGAGTCCTGTCCCCTCACTATCCTTCTCCCAGCTGTCCTTTGACACTCCCGACGAACATCTGCCTTACCTCTTCAGCAGCTTTGACGACCAGAGGGTTGTCTTTCAGGGGATTCAGCATCGCCATCTACTCTTTCTGAGAAGTATGGCACAGAGCGTGGAGGCTGAGATCCTGCTGCATGGAGGAGAGGCCACGGAGAGGGACGTCAGCTCATACCAGCCTCAGGATTTCCTGATGAGTGAGGGCAGTGCGCCAAAGCAGATCGGAAACATGGTTTACTACAGCCTGCACAGCCCCAAGCTCCCAGGGAGGGTGCTGGGTTTAAGGGTAACGTCACAGCTTCCAGTCACTCCACATAGTTAACAGTTATGTTCTGTATGATAATGCATGATATTAAAATCTGTATACGTCTGTTGTTGTGCACATTGTTCACTTGCAGTCACGTTACAATTGAAATTGTGTGCAAAGAAAGGTATGCATATTGCACAGAGCAAAAAGTAATACAAACATGATCTTTATCAACGCTGGCAATTGTGGCATTGACTTGCGGTGCTAGAGACACTTCCTCTTAACTGTCATCAGGTGTCACAACTGCAACAGGAAGCCCAGACATTACATACTCTTTGTATAGTAAGGGTTTCTTGATGAATATGGTTTATTCTGTTTTCTGTCTTTCTGTGCAGGTACACAAACAGACTGATGAAGCCTCCTCGGGTCACCAGCCGTCGCATGTAAATGTGCAAGATGCCATTGCTCATTTCCACCCAAGCAACACCCCGAGGACTGATTCAAGCATATTACAAACTCAAGACCCCTCTCGTCCTTTCAAGTCAGACTGCAGTGCTGTTAAACCACCAGGCGGAGGCAGCACTGACTGGGCTCTGGCTCGTATGAATATTAATCTGCCCTCAGTTGAGTCTTTCCTCCAGAGAGGGCACTCAGTGAGTGTTGAGAGAGACCTGCCATACGCCACTCTAGACGACTTTGTTCAGGAAAGCCGCTCGCTGCAGAGCACAGATAGTTTGGATTATGACAAACAGGTGTGTGTTCTGTTGCTGCAGATATTAACAGGCTTGCAACATCTGTACATCAGCGCCTCTGCAGCTGAGCTCAGACCTCGGGAGATCTTCTTAGTGTGGCCCGACAGAAAGAAGGAAGAGGGAGATAAGATAGAACAGGATGCTTCTGAAATGAAGTCCAGTAGACTGAAAGAAAAAATGGAGTTGGAAAAGACAGAGAGGAAAGGAAAGATCCAGATGTTATGGAAGACACATGGTTCCCCTCGTGTAGTGTTAACCCCGGCATCGTCTGCACTTTCAGTACCTCACCCCCTCGCCCACATCAATTCCCATATTGGAGCCCTAATCCAATACTGCCTCGACCCACAAGAGAACCTGACATCTCTGGGCCCGGTTCCAACTCAGTCCTCATACCGAAGGGGGCTCCTTTATCTGGCCTCTCGGCTCCAGAGTGAGAGCAGTGGGCGCCAGATGGCAGACATGGTGGCCACGCTTCAGGTTCTCCTTTGGGGGCCTCGCGTCCCACTCTTCAATCAAAGAGAGCCTATGACCACCGCTGTACACAACTGGCTGACAATCAAGCGAGCCCTGCTGGTGATGAAGTTGGCAGAGAGAGGGCTGATCCAAGATCAGTCTGCTCTGGATTGGGAGGACTGTATGTGCCTGCAGTACTTGTCATTTACAGATCCTGAGACAGTTGTGAGCGTGACCAGTCAGCTATGGTTCTCTCTGAATGTGGACTGACTGTCAATATGTGAAGGTCTCGTCTGACGTTCTTTTAATGACTCTTAGGTAGTTACAATCTTACATATTAAGCTGTAAACAGTCAGTCTACAATGGTCAAAAATACAATGGTCAGAAATACACTAAGAATGTGTATACTGTCTCCATCCCTCCATGTTTAACAGGATGTGGCTGTTTAATGATGCATGCTGCTCTTTGCAATGTAAAATAAATCTAATGAAATGCTACACTTCATAATAAGCAATGGGATCTTACACGAATAAACTATTTTCTGCCAAAGTTAGACCATGTTCGGTTATTTCACAAGACATTTCTTTATTTCTCCTTTTCTCTGTGCTCTTCTAACTGGTTTATATAATATGTATATTTTAATTTTATCACATTTTTTGGATGTTGGAACAAGAAAAGAAATAGGGTTGGCCGATTTGACTGTAGTTTATAGTGATCGTAGTTTCATCTTTGACTATAAAGACTTTATAACGTTCAAACCTAAAATTTAAAAAATGCTAGGGGATTCCTAAAGATGAAAACCCTGTATAGTTTCCAACAAGAAAAGCCTTCAGTGGTGTTCTTTAATCTGATTTCAGTGAAGACACACTCAAACTCAATCAAAACTGATGCTAGCAACATCTACGCTAACCTCTATGGCAGCCATTGTTGTTTAATAGTGTTTTTTCACTGCTTTACCCCAATTCCCCTTCAAATGAGTGCAACCCCATGAAAAGCCCCAGAGGGATGCTTGATGACAGCCGTCTACTTGCCCTGGCTTCATTTATGAACACTTGGTCAGAGACAACGCCAACTCAAAAGGCTCAATGATTGTTGACTTCACAAGACCACAGATTCCACTCTCTAAGGTGAGCACTTTTATTTAGTACAGTTACAACATGCAGATTTCTATCAAGTGAATCAAAGCAACAAATTAAAAATCATGCACACATTACAAAAATCAATAAAAACAGGAAAATCAAATGATAATTACTATGAAACATACCTACGTACACGAGTAAGATGAATTTGAATTGATCATAAATATTACACTGTAGAGATGATCGTCAGGGTGAATAGGAAGTCAGCACTACACATCATGGAAAGTAATACAGTGGCGAGGAAACATTGCCCGGATATTATGTGGGCTTTACATTCCTGGTATATTAACATCTTACCCTAGTGCAAATATCATTGAAACACAGCACATGGTAGGTAAAGGTGAAACAAACACAAAAGGAACTTCTGACAGGAAACCTCAACCATACTTAACTTGGATAATATATTCATTTCCAAAAAATGATAACTGTGTGGGTATGGATTGAAATAAGAACAACAAACATTTGTAACTGCTCAGCGTCATTTAATCATCATCAGAGGAGTCTCGCTCGATGCTGTAAGCCATGAAGAAAGCGTCAGGTCGGGAGGGGACGAGGGGATGACCCGGTCTCACAATCTCAAAGCCCAGGAAACTGAACGTACGCAGCAGGGATGCTGAGGAGAGACAGGATGGAAACAGATGTGAATCTCTGTAAAGATACCCCGATATAGAAACAACATACAAAACACCACTAATTTATTTATTTAACAAAGTCTTGTAAGTACATTTATGTGGATCCTGGGAAGAGCAGCTACTCTTAGTATTACAGTGACTAATGTGGACTTAAATAAAGTGAAATAGGGGG